CTCCCCACTGAGCAGGTAGCCTGATGCGGGACTCGATCCTGGGACTCCAGGATCATGACCTGAGCCGAAGGCAGTTGCTTAACCGACTGAGCCACCCAGGCGCCCCATTATTTTCCTTTTTTAAAAAATTAAAAAAAAAATTTCGGGACGCCTGATGGCTCAGTCAGTTAAGCGTCTGCCTTCGGCTCAGGTCATGATCCCAGGGTCCTGAGATTGAGTCCCGCATCGGGCTCCTTGCTCAGCGGGGAGCCTGCTCCTCCCTCTGCCTCTGCCTCTCCCCCTGCTTGTGATCTCTCTCTGTCTCTCTCTCTCTGACAAATAAATAAAATCTTAAAAAAAATTTTTAAAAATTTAAAAAGATTTTATTTATTTGAGAGAGAGAGTGAGAGAGAGCACGAGTGGGGCTAGGGGCAGAGGGTCAGGAAGAGGGAGAAGCAGACTCCCCACTGAGCGGAGAGCCCGATCCCAGGACACTGAGATCACGACCTGAGCCGAAGGCAGGTGCTTAACCGACTGAGCTACCCAGGTGCCCCTATTATTTTCCTTTTGATGATCAAATTGTCACAGTATGTCAGGTGGGAGCATTTTAAGACGGATTCCTTTGCCTTTTCAGCGCTACCTTATACAGTTTTAAAAAAATATCCTTGCTTTTTGTCATTAACAACATGTTCCAGGCCTAGAGTTATTTAAGACATGGAGCTATTTATTCTCCAAGGAACACTGAGTTCTATTTATTTATTTATTTATTAAAGATTTTTATTTTTATTTTTTTAAAGATTTTATTTATTTATTTGAGAGAGAGAGAATGAGAGACAGAGAGCATGAGAGGGAGGAGGGTCAGAGGGAGAAGCAGACTCCCTGCTGAGCAGAGAGCCCGATGCGGGACTCGATCCCGGGACTCCAGGATCATGACCTGAGCCGAAGGCAGTCGTTTAACCAACTGAGCCACCCAGGCACCCCAAAGATTTTTATTTTTAAGTAATCTCTATACCCAGCAGGGGGCTCGAACCTACAACCCCGAGATTAAGGGTCACACGTTCCACTGACTGAGCCAGCTAGGCACCCTTCCACCTGAGTTATTTAATCTAATTAAATTAATTAATTAATTAATTTTTAAAGATTTTATTTATTTATTTGAGAGAGAGAGAGAGAGCGCGAGCACAAGTGGGTGGAGGGGCAGAGGGAGAGGGAGAAGCAGACTCTCCGCTGAGCAGGGAGCCCAAGGTGGGGCTTGATGTCTGGACCCTGGGATCATGACCTGAGCCGAAGGCAGCTGCTTAACTGGCTGAGCCACCCAGGTGCCCCTCCCCCATGAGTTATTTTAAAGGTGAATAATATTTGAGGCAAAGATCCTGGTGCTAAGAATGCATATCAGATTTTTCCTGATGTTGTTTCTAGGCTACTTTAATGACAACATTTGAAAAAGTTATTTCTTTTGAAAACCACAAATTCACATTGGTATTTCCTATTTAATTCAAGCATTACTAATTTCCTTTTTTATTTGACTTGAATATACAAGCTTACATTTATCTTCTCAACAACATACCTGCCTGTAACTTGTAACCCCTGATCCCAATTGTAATGGCATCTTGTCTCTTCAGTGATCCTGCAGTTTCTCATTGACCATCATTCTCTAGTTGCTTTACTGATAGGCTCATCCATGCTGGGAGAATGGGACAGCTCGGTAAGACAGAGAGATTTTAAAATACCAGCAGGAGAGTGGTTGAAGGGATGAGTCATAGCATCCAAGATAACAGGAAGTTTAAGAAAGGAGGACAAGACAGCACAAATCAGGAGAAAGAAGAGAGGCTGAGGGATCATCTGGAACAGGTACAGTGAAGGAAGCTGAGAGAGCTGCGAGGTGACCGTCAGAGTGTGGAGTGGCTGAAGTTCAGATCACAAAGGTGGAGCAGTTCTAGGAGGTGGCCTTGTCATTGACACATTCCATGCCTGGAGATCTACACTTGCTCACATGTGACTTTCTACCCCTACCTCCAGCTGTCTAAGGAAACTGGGTACACCCACTCTTGGCTAGAGCGAACACACACACCCCATCTCTTGGATGGGGAGGGGAAGGCCAGAGTCCATCTGGGACCTAGCACAGATGGATACCCAGGTTCACTGCCTGCTGGCTGTCCCCATGTAAATGAAATACGTATACCATGTTCAGGCTGGGCACCTGCCCTGCCTGCCTCACCAGCCACAGGCTCCGGGCCACTCTGTGGTCCTCCCCGCACTTCTGCTGGTGCCTAAGCCTCCTGCCCTAGCCCACACGGTGCTGGCTCAGCTTCTGATTGTGCTGGCCAAGATCCGTGATGCTGGCACACCTCATAGGAAGGAGCCTGCAGGGTACACTGAGGCTGGTCCATCTGGGCCCCGGTGGGGGCCTGTCAGGCTCACCTGGGCCACCTGTCCCCAAATAGCACTGAGTGGAGAGCTGGGGGTGGAGGAACAGGAAGAGCAGAGTCTGCAAAGTGGCACAGACCTCCCTATCTGCCAAACCCCACAGGCACAAAGAGCTGCAGTGGGAGGCAGGGGGTGGGAGGGGAGGTAAGAGGGGCCAGGTCCCCAGACACCACAGCTCTACTCTTCACTCTTCACCTTGGGTGTTAGGCACAGGGTCCCATGCAAGAAGGTAGAATACAGGCAGCCAGAGGGAGCCTCTCTCCTACCCCAAAGAAGCTGCTTCTGGGGCAGGAGAGGGCAGAGGGCGGAGGTCAGAGGTCAAGGGTTAGATTCCAGTCCTTGAAAAGCTTGAACCTTTAGAGTGGGAAAATGAGGAAGCCAGAGAAGCTTGAATATTTCCAGCCACCCAGTAGGTTCCCCCGACGCAGGCGCAGGGACACCCGGTCCCCTGGGTCCAGGGGCAGTAACACAGAGCTGGTGGCTGCCTCTCGAGTCACATCAGGGTCGTTGGCAAAGGCTGAGATGACAGGCCATGTGTTCAGCATCAGGCTCACCTGGGGAGGTGAGCCCAGTTAGCACTTCTGCCCAGCCCTTGTCCCAAGACCCCCCACTTTCCTGAGGGCTGCTTTTTTTCTCCAGCTCCTAAGGGACTCTGTAATCCTGGGAACTTGGGGCTCAGTGCACTCTTGTAGGAGGGCTGAGAGGTGGCCAGTGTTGTCCTCTACCTCCTCCACCCTCTCTGCTAGGCCGGTCCTTTCCGCCCTTGCCCCTGCCAGCCCCCCACCCCACAGGTCAATGGAGGGTCTACCGAGGAGTCACAGCTGGACTCCACTTGTTCACCCTCCCTCCCCTCCCCTCCTGAGCCAGGACAGGGCCCCAGCCCACAGGTCACCTGAACAGTTTGGCGGTTGTACACCTTCACCACATGGAACCGGAAGCTATAGACACCACGGACAGGGGCCACGAAGGAGCCTGAGGCCCGGTCAAAGCCACCACCCTCATTTACCAGGACCTGTGGGAAGCAGACTCTGCTGAGTGGGGCTCGGGGAAACTACTGGGCTGTGGGGAGGAAAAGTAGGGGTGGCAAGAAGACAAGAACAGGAGGAAGGCCCAGATTCAAAAGAAATGGTGAGAAAGGGCAAGGAGGGATGTGGGTAGGAGTGTAGGGAAGGGAGATGGGCAGTGGCGCTGAGGAGCCCCTGGTCACAGTGGGGGGCTTTTCCTTAAGAGCAAAGTGGGTTTGGGCAGTTGATTCCAGGTCCTTACAGGTCGTCTGGACAAGGGTAGGGGGATTACCTGGTCGAAGTAGATGGCCCCACTGGTGCCATTGCTGATCTCTCCTGCTGGCTCATGGTGGTGGCTTCGGACTGCGGCAAATGCCACTCTTCCAGGGGGCGCCTCTCCCAGGGCTGCTCCCCCAGGCCCCCCTGCAGCAGCTCGGCCAGGCTCACAGACCACCAGGCACTCACCCTCCAGGAGGACAGGCTCTGCCCCCTCTTGGGCCCACCCGCACCCTAGAGCCAGAAGCATCAGGGCCAAGCGCAGCCTGGGGCTGGGTAGGAGACCCGGTAGCCAGTGTCGCTTGGCTCCCAGCATGGCTGAGTGGCTCTGTGACCCACAAGTCCTCCTGTCTTCTGCCCCCTCTCGGTGTTCCTTTCAGTTTCCGCTTCTGGCGGACTCTCACTACCTCTCACCCTGCTCCTCAGCCCTCTCTCTGGGTCTCACTGTTCCCTGGTCTCAGCATGTCTCTCTCCATACCTCTCTGTCCTGCCTCTCTCTCCCACCGTCACTGCAGTTCCCTCCTCCTTGGCAGGGCATGAAGTGACAGCAGCAGTTGGGCTCGAGGAGGGAGAGGAGGGATGAAGCAGCCAGACAGGAGGGCTACAGCCAGAACCCAGGGCAGCCCTCCTGGAGAGCACTGAAGGCTGCATATGGGACGACAGAGAACTTGGTGTGTTCGTAAGAGTGTACATGTGCCTGTGAGGACGTGTGAGTGCCCGTCGTGTGTGTGTGTGAGTGCATGCGTGCGCAAGACAGCGCTACAGTCCCTTACTTCTCCTTGTTCCTCCCCTCTTCAAAATCCCTCGCTAGTCAACAGCCCTCAGTGGCCCCTTTCCGCTCTTGGAAGAAAGCGGGCGCCCTTGTCTTTTCCCTACAATTGTTTTGGTGGAAAGTGCTTGGGCCAACGGTGTCAGTATCTTGTGACCGTGGGCCAGTCTCTTTCTCTCCTTGGTCTTCCATATCTTCATCCGAAGGTAATGGATTAGTCCCTTTAAGGCCTTCTTCACCTCCAGCTCTCAACGAGTGGCTTTTCTCTCCCGAGAAACAGCTGCTCAGAAGGAGCGAGAACCCAGACTTGCGCGGAAGAGCCCATCAGCCAGGCTCGGACGCGGAGCCCGGGGGAACTGCGGGCGAGTGGGCGGGCCGGGGAGGCGGGGCCGGGGGCGGGCCGGGGAGGAGCCCGGCGGCAGGCGCGCGCTAGGGCCCGGAGCCGGCCCAGCGCGGGGTGGGGTCTGGCTGACTCCACCCCGGGCCAGGAAGTGACTCAAAAAACTGTCCGAGATGTGAAGACAGGTCCCAGTTGGGTGAGGACTTCGGGAAGGCCCGCCCAGATTCGGCCCTCCCCCCGCCCCCCGCCCTTCTCCTCTGGGCCTGGGGCGCGGGCGAAGCTGGGGGCGGCAGGCTCCGAGAGGCGCCGGCGGGACTGAGGCCGAAGCGGGCGGCCGAGGCGGGTAGGCTCGCTCTCCCCCGCGCCCGGGCCGCGGGAGCCGAGCCGGAGGCCCCCGTGCAGAGCGCGGCCGGGGGGAGGGGCGGCGGCCGCAGGCGGCTGTGGGCGGTACCCGGCCTGGCCCCTGGGCCCCGAGTGGGGCCGTACCGCGCCGGAGAGGAGCGGCGGACAGCGGAGGGAGGGGGAGAGGTGGGAGGGGCTAGAACCTTGGAAATGGCAGACCAGGGACTCGCGAGGACATCCCAGCTCAAGCCCCGGTGAGGATTCGTCTTTAAGAGGCCGCTTTGGACCCGGAGACTGCAGAGACCCCGAGGAGAGAGACTGTTTTGTCATCTGTTCACTTCTGGCCTCCAGACCGAGCTGGAGCCCCCCACTCTTCCTGCTTAGGGCCCTGGTCAGCCTTTTCCAGAGGCCAGATGCCCATCCCCAACAGGCAGCCTTGTTTGCCCATGACTTCGTCTCGGAGAGAAGACCCCGTTCCGCATAATCTGACATTCCCTTCCTAGATGGACCCAGGGTGTTTACTAGATGGGTAACTAAGTGCGACCTGTTGATAGCTGGTGTCGGCTGGGAGACCAAAATTTGGGTTGAGGGGACGAGGAGGCTCTGAGCTGCCTTCCCTCCTTCCAGGGCTGGGTGGCCAAGCAGCCATGCCTACGTGGGGGGCTGGCTCGCCGTCCCCTGACCGCTTTGCTGTGTCCGCGGAGGCTGAGAACAAGGTGCGGGAGCAGCAACCGTACGTGGAGCGCATCTTCAGCGTGGGGATGAGTGTCCTCCCGAAGGACTGTCCTGAGAATCCTCACATCTGGCTGCAGCTGGAGGGCCCCAAGGAGAATGCCAGCAGAGCCAAGGTGAACACCCCTCTCTGCCCCTTCAGGGAACAGTGACTCCCTCCCCTGCACAGAGGCAGAGGAGAGGAGGGGCTGCTGGGGAGGATCTCCACTCACTCCTTGGTTGTCTTACTGGCAACCTCAGTGGCTCTGAACTTTGAGGGACTTTGCAAATCTATTTCTGTGGAGTTTTGGTTTCATTTCAGCCGTGATGAGCCAGTTTCTGCCAAGACTTAGCGACAGGTGATTCGCTCAAATCAGTTGTGACTGGGAGATAATCCAGTTGGGCAAGCAGGCCCCACCAAGGAATTCAGTGGGGGATGGGAAGCCAGGCCACATTGCTTCCTTCAGTCAGAGGTTCCAGTACAGCTCCACCACCTACCAGCTCTGTGACAGAGTCTCCTATTTCCTTATTTATGGAATGTGAATAATAGCAGTGTCCACCTCATTGGGCTTATTGTGAATGAGATAAAGCATGAGTTCAGCAAAAGTTAGCAATGACAGTCATTATGATGGAAATATGTAACACACATACACGCATAAATATTTAGAGAGACAACCTTGTTAATTATAATCAGTTAATTATAATAGTACCTTAAGTTGAGTCAAGTTCTAAATGGAAATATTAGCCATAGACTATCAGCTGAAAAGGGAAGGAAGTGGATTCTTGATCCCTTTTTAATCCTTACCTTTGTCAGGATCTATGGGGCTCCATTGCTCTGCCCAGGCGTCTTGGAGCTTGGGGTGGGATGCAATGGGCTTGAAGAGGCTACTGGGCCATGTAGAATTCCAGCAGTCCTTTTTCCCTCCCCGCCCCCCCCCCCCCCCCCCCCGCCCATTCCTCCCCCAGGAGTTCCTGAAGGGTCTTTGCAGCCCAGAGCTGCAGGATGAAGTCCACTATCCACCCAAACTGCATTGCATCTTCCTGGGAGCCCAGGGCTTCTTCCTTGACTGTCTGGTCTGGAGCACATCAGCCCACCTCGTGCCAGGGCCCCCTGGTTCGCTGATGGTCAGTGGCCTGACCGAGGCCTTCGTCATGGCTCAGAGCAGAGTGGAGGAGCTGGTGGAGCGGCTGAGCTGGGACTTTCGGCCAGGGCGAGCCCCTGGAACCTCCCAGTGTGCTGGAGTGCTGCGAGACTTCTCGGCCCTGCTGCAGCCCTGTGGGGATGCCCACAGAGAGGCCCTGCTGCAGCTGCCCCTAGCTGTCCAGGAGGAACTGTTGAGCCTGGTGCAGGAGGCAGCCAGGGGGCAGGGGCCTCAGGCACTGCCCCCCTGCGGTGGGGGGAGCCCCGGCCCACTGGGTGCTCAGTACCAGGGTGTCAGAGCTCCCTCGAGTGAAGGCAGGGAGTCCCTGGACCCTGGACCTACGGGGTGGCGAGAGTTGAGGGTAGAGAGACAGGTTATGGAGCTGGAGGGAGGGAAGCAGGGTGGTCCCAGGGAGATGGATTTGGGGTGGAAGGAGCTGCCTGGGAAAGAGCCTTGGGAGAAAGAAGGGGCCTTCAGATCACAGTCAGGAGGAGGAATGGCAGGGCAGGTACGGCCCCTGCCAGGAAAGGCCCTGGGCAAGGAGGGGGTGCCTCAGGACAGAGGAAGGTCGGTCTGTGTCCAGGGCGAGCCTCCTGGTGCCCAGGGCCCCTGTCAGAGGGCAGCTCAGCCCCGGGGAGCCTCCCTCCTGCAGCGGCTACACAACGGGAAAGCCTCACCTCCAAGGGTGCCTAGCCCTCCACCTGCGCCCGAACCCCCGTGGCACTGTGGAGACCGAGGAGACAGGGGAGATAAGCAGCAGGTCGCGGCACGAGGTCGTGGGTCTCCGTGGAAACGAGGCTCGCGCGGGGGCAACTTGGTGACCGGCACGCAGCGTTTCCAGGAGGCCCTGCAGGACCCTTTCACCCTGTGCCTTGCCAATGTCCCCGGCCAGCCAGACCTCCGTCACATTGTCATCGACGGCAGCAATGTGGCCATGGTGTGAGTACCCGGTGGGCTTGAGGATCTGGGCTGGGGGGTGAGAGGGATGATCCGAGCAGAGTTCCTGACCCCGAGTGGCCCCTCTGGGGCCCCGGAGCGCTGACCCCTTCCCGCCGCAGGCACGGCCTCCAACACTACTTCTCCAGCCGGGGCATCGCCATTGCTGTACAATACTTCTGGGACCGGGGCCACCGGGACATAACCGTCTTTGTGCCTCAGTGGCGCTTCAGTAAGGATGCCAGGGTCAGAGGTGAGTTGGGCCTGGTCTTTTGTAACCTGGGATAGGCCCCGCTTTAGCCTGAGGATAACCCCGTTGTGCGCCTGTGTTTCTCTAGAGGGCCACTTCCTGCAAAAGCTGTATTCCCTCAGCCTGCTCTCCCTCACTCCCTCCCGAGTCATGGATGGCAAGAGGATCTCCTCCTATGATGATAGGTACTTGCTTCTCTCCTGGCCCCCGTCTTGAGATTCCAGGAACACAGTGGGGAAACTGAGGGAGAGACAGAAGCTCCTGACCCCTTGTGCTGTCTCTAAGCCTGGGCAGCGGGAAAATGGCCAGTCATTCCTTCATGGACCTGTACGAACGGGTCAGTAAACCTGCCCCGCAGGCGTGATGAGACAGATGGTGGACAGCCGTGGGTGTCCATTCATTCATTTTTCGTTCCTCAAGCTGAATGCTGCCTTGTATTTATGTAGGCTTTCCTGTCTAGAAAATCCTAGTTTAATGGAAAGCTGGTGACGTGGGTAACTGACAAGTACCTTCTGACAACCCACATTTCCAAACATGTAGAGAAATTCCCCAACGTTCTGGAAGCGCCAGGGTAAATGTTCAAAATCACAAGTCAAATGAAGAGACACAAGCCATGCATTCTAAGAGTATACAAAACATGTTCTGATAGAAAGGTCACTGGACTTAGAATCAGAAGATCTGAATTTGAGCCCCAAGTTGTACTATTCATTGACTCTGCCCGTGGACCAGTCTCTTAGCGGGCTAACCTCTGTCTCGGTCCTCTTCATTTGGTCACCCTCCTTGTGAATATCAAAAGGAGCTGAGGGATGTGCTTGCCTCACTCAAGGTGCTAGGCAAGTGTACAGTGATATTCCTTAACTGTTCACAGACCCAATCAAGTGTGGCAGTGGGTCTCGTCTCTGTCCTACAGAACCGCAGACATAGGGTAGGAGTGGTGACCTCTCTTGACCAAGGCTATTACATGGCAAAGGAAAAGTGAGAACTTAAAACTGCCAAATTGTTTAAATGAAAAACGAAGGGCACATTCCCTCCCCAGAGTTTATACAGTGGGGAAATGGGCAGATTTTAAAGATTTTATTTATTTATTTCAGAGATAGGGAGAGCAGCGGTGGGGAGTGGGTGGTGGAGGGGAGGAGTAGAGGGAGAGGGACAAGAAGACTCCACACTGAGCGCAGAGCCCAGTGCGGGGCTCCATCCCACAACCCTGAGATCATGACCTGAGCCAAAATCAAGAGTCGGACACTTAACCGACCGACCCACCCAGGCGCCACAGAAATGGGCAGGTTTTAAAACCCAATTAACCAATTAAAAAATTTTTACTACTACAAGTTCTTTATTCTCTAGGATTTTCAGTTTTAAAGAAAAACTAGTTTCCAACTATAGCGCTTATATATTTTGTCTTTTCAAACAACGTTTCCTCCCTAACAAGCAAATGGTATTCTACAAAAAGGCAGTTCACTTTCTCCCAATGCTCTTCTGTTTTATGTCTAGATTTCACAGATTATCCAAGATATGGAACCTTTCCACACCAGCATTGACACAGAATTGAAATTGAAGAGCGAGTCAGTTGCAATGAATTTTAAAGGCACGTGTCTGTACAGCTATGTAGGTCCCAGTAGGCAGACAGCGCAATGCGAATTTGGAATTTTGTCTGGTTACAGTGAATGACACGGTGGTGCGTGGCGTAGGCCCACGGAATGAGTACTGCTGAGCAACAGATGAAGTAACACGATAGTAAAATACCCTTAACCAGCAAATGCCTTTTGTCTATCCTGTGATACCATGGATACACCTTCATTTGTTTCCCAGACAGAAACTCAGAACCAGACATGTTACACTGAATCCTGATTACTAGTCTCCTGTGTGCCACACTGTCTTTCAAATACTGCCTGCTCACTTAGCACCTAGCAGTAGGCGCATGGCCTGCAGGAGGAGGTGGGGATGCTGGGAATTAGGGCGGGCCTGATCATTGACTTCGGAGCCCACACAAACCCTAAACCAAACACAGTGGCAACTTGGAGGAAAGGGAGCCCCCTTCTAGTAGGAGTTTTCTGGGAAGGGAGGGATTTGCCAGTTTTTTGTCGATTGAGGACTTGGGCTAGGCTGCATCTTTTAGTTTCTAAACTTGTTAGAAAAGACCCCCATCCACTGCCTCATGAGTCCTATCCCAGTCTTGTGGAGTCAGAATTTCTAAAGTGGGGCCCAGGCATCTCTTTTTTTTTTTTAAAAGTTCCCTGGTGATTCTGTTCATCAGTGCGGTTAGGGAAGCACCTCCAGATGGAGGGAATAGTTTGAGAAACATGGTGGCAGTCAGCACAGGACATGTTTGGAGAACGGGGTGTTATCTGATCATTGATTTTGGCAGAGTTGAAAGTTCATTAGGAATACCAGGAGAGATAAGGCTGTAAGGATGGCTCGAGCTGGGCTTAGAAGGCCCTAGCTGCCAGGCCTGGGCATGTGGACTTTACTCGGTAGATAAAGGGCAAGCAGGGGAGAGATTTGTTGAGGGGAAGGCAGGAGAGACTGCAGGGTGGTGAATGGTTGGGGTCAGGGGACCCCCTTATCAGGAGGCTATGCGGTGTCTCAGCTGCAAGGGTAATGGTATGACTGGAAAGGAAGGGGCAGAGTGGAAGGCTTTTCAGGAGAAGAACATGATAGATCTGTGACTGACTGGTGGGGTAGGGTGGAAGAAGACTGCGCTGGAGCCAGATCTCACTGTCTCTCACTAATGAGGCACAAAGTGTTGGGTGGAAGATTGTGGTAGGTGGAGGGGATGCTATTGGGACACCATGCTGGCTTCATCTTTGTTTCCTCTCCAACCCATGGCACCCAAATCTGGCAGGCACCTGGTGGCTGGGTCAAGGTGAGGTGGGGGGCCAGATCTCCATCCACAGAAGTGGGTCATGGGAGTCAATAATACTCTTTGGGGTTGGGGCCTTGGAGAATGCCAGAACGGCTGCTGTGATTTTTGAGACAGGTTCATGGTGAAGCTGGCTGAAGAGACCGATGGGGTCATTGTCTCCAATGACCAGTTCCGGGACCTGGCGGAGGAGTCTGAGAAGTGGATGGCGATCATCAGGGAGCGGTGAGAGAACAGGGCGTGTACTCAGACCTTTCTCTAAACCAGTTCTGCTCTGCCACCGGGTGAAGACTCTGGGAAGGGGCTTGATATGGTCTCGAAGGATGGTGGCCAGTAGTTTTCTGGTGGTGCTGGTCTCAGCTGTCTGGCAGGTTCGTCAGAGCACCCCTGTGACCATATGTTTTCTTTCCGCACCCAGCCTGCTGCCTTTCACTTTTGTGGGAAACCTCTTCATGGTTCCTGATGACCCGTTAGGGCGAAATGGCCCCACGCTGGATGAGTTCCTGAAGAAGCCAGTCAGGTAATGCCCCACATTCTCCCAGGCAGCCCCCAGCCTTGGCCCTCTGTCTGCAGGGGCCTTGTAGATCCCGAGACTTGGGGGCAGGGTGACCTCATCTGGGCCAGCTTGCTTCTGTACTGGTTGGTTGCTGTGGGCCTGGCATTTTAACTGCTTTTCAGGGCATCCTGATCTAGGCCCTCCTGGCTGGGAGGGGCGCTTCCCCTAATCCATATTTTTGGTGGATTATTTGGAACATGGTTGCTTTTACTTACAGCCAGTTGTATTCCACACACCCTCTGCTGGACTATTCCGTAAGCGATCACTGTATTAGACTAGAACTAGATCATAATAGTGACAGGCTTCACCTTCCTGGTTCTAAAGGGACCGGTCTTCTCCCCTTCAGAAGTGGCTTGATGCTGCCACTCAGTGGTCAGCTTGGGGAACATCAGGACTGCGTCTTCCACCGTGGCCCCAGCCCCACTCCTAAGCCAGGAATAGGCCGGGCCGTTACCTGGGAGGCCCACTGAGCTCTCGCTTCCCCCCAGGATGCTCATCAGCTCTTCGTGTACCCTCTGCTTCTTCCCAGGGCACAGGGGGCTTCTAAGGCTCAGCATCCTTCCAGGGCCTTCGCAGAACCCGGTCAGCAGCAGCAGGGGAGAGAAGAGGAGGAAAAAGGCAGCAGTGGCATCCGGAAGACCCGGGAGACTGAGCGGCTGCGGCGCCAGCTGCTGGAGGTGTTCTGGGGCCAGGATCACAAGGTGGACTTCATCCTGCAGCGGGAACCCTACTGCCGGGACATCAACCAGCTCTCTGAGGCCCTGCTGAGTCTCAACTTCTGAGCCTCCCCTGCCTGACTGCCTGCCTGCCGCCCGGTCAGCTTCAGCCTGGCCCAGCTCAGCTCTTTCTGTGAGGGTCCTTGTGCTGCTCAGACCCTGACCTAGACTCACTCTGAGTTGGTGGGACTTGATCTCATCTTGAGTCGGGACCTCAGATAGCTCTCAAGAGGTTCTGCTCAGCCTTAAGTTCTCAACCTTGCCATAGCACAGGGTTTCTGTAGGGAGTGGGGACCTACTGGGAAGAGCAGGTCCTGGAAGTGGGGACTGCCGGCTCCTTCAAACTGAGTTGGGGATGGAGGCTTGGGGGGGTGGGTGGGGAATGAAGAGCAGGTGGCAAGGAAGCGAAGTCTTTCCTCCCCCTTGGCTGTGGCTCTGGATGCCAGAGGGACAGTTGCTTCCCAGGCCTGGCTGGGCTGCTGGGTTCATCGAAGGGAATGCTGGGCCCTGGGGAGGCCCTGGGGAGGTATTATGGGGTCTGGGTCACAGTGGGGCAGCAGGTTGCTGGTGGAGAAGGCACAGGGAGGGAGACTTGGCTTCCGGTCTCAGCTATGTCTGTCTGTGACCTTGATGGAGCTGCTTGGCCTTTACTTCTGCTTGTAAATCAGGGCTAAAAATGCCGGCTGGGAAGAGAAATGAGAACACAGCGGAAAGCTCCTCGGAGGAAAGGTACTTGCATCAAGTCTCAGGTGTGTCTGTCTGTGGCTGCACAGGCTGCCTAACCAAAACCTCACTTTGCCAGAGCTGAGGATCCTCTGTCCCCAGGGCTCAGGCCCTTGATTTTAATTAACACTGCGTCCTCAGTATCATATGCCCTGTAATGGCTGCGTCCCTTTTGGGCAACCCCCCAAATCCACATTTACAAAACAGTTAATTAGGGGTGACTGTTTGCATTACCAAAATACTCTCAGGGTTCCTGTAAATGGCAGCTCTCCTGTTGCGTTCAAGTGTTTACAGATGAACGAATGTGTCAGAAAGTCCCCGGTTAGATGCACTTGCTGAAATGTTGAGCGTTCACCAGACTGATGAAGCCATGCTCTGCAATGACAATGTTAATGTGATCTGACCCCAGCATTTTCTCTACAGAACACATATGTGGCATAAAGTGAGCCCCACTTCTGCTGTGTGTGTGTATGTGTGTGTGTGTGTGTGTGTGTGTATGGGGATGGGAGGGTTTTCAGAGGTTGTTATCGAGATGAACCAATGATCTGGAAAATGAAAACCGAAGAATCCCAAGTCGAAAGGAAAGTACCTCACTGGCCACCAGATCAACCACTTACATAAGAACATTGCCTCTCCATCCTGATTCCTACATCCTGCCCTTTATCTTTTTTTTTTTTTTTTTAAGATTTTATTCATTCATTTGACAGAGACACACCGAGAGAGGGAACATAAGCAGGGGGAGTGGGAGAGGGAGAAGCAGGCTTCCTGCCGAGCAGGGAGCCTGATGTGGGGCTCAATCCCTGGGATCATGACTGGAGCCAAAGACAGCTGCTTAACTGACTAAGCCACCCAGGCGCCCCTCCTGTCCTTTATCTGCTTAAAGTCCTGTGCAGGGAAACGGACAACCTCCAGGTCGCACATTCATCCGTGGACAGCACTGGTCAGTAGACCTTCCTTTAGCGCAGCCCCCAAATACGCTTTTCTGTTACTTCTACCCTTGAGATGGGTCAGTCCCTCAGGAGCCCATCAACTTCCTTGAGATGGGTCATTCCCTACAGAACCCATCAACTTCCTAAAGAGCACAAGACCAGATAAAGAAGTAGGACAGGTGCCCCTGGATTCTGTGCTGTCTGGGCTCTGTGGTAGGTCCCGGGACATGGTCCTTTTCAGGCTGTCACTTCTCCCTGAGGCACAGCGAGTTGACTACTGCCACCTCAGTTCTTCGTTCCAGCAACCAGTGTGGGGAGCTGGATGATGCTGGAGAGTCTCTGGGTCCCGGTGTCTTCACCCCTCCTCCCCATTGCTGCTTTATACCACTAGCCTGTATTGACCTGAGCTGGGGTCAGGTGTGTTGGAAAGAAGCTAGTTAGGGGGTGACGGTGGCTCAAAGACAGCCCAGAGTCCTCTGGGAATAAGGAGATTGGTTAAGATGGCCCAAACTGGGGGCTAGGGGAACTGTTGGTTAAGTTGTGGCCGATAACCAGGGCAGGCGGCCAGGGGTATCATCTGCCCTTTTGTGCTAGGGACCCTGGTTGCCTGAAGTGGCCCCAGTCAGATGAGAGGCAAGTCCTCAGCTTCTTACAGACACGGATGTTGGCTTTGTCCTACTGCAGCTTGATGACCTAGGATCAACGTGTGATTGCTTTATTCACTGCTGTTCAGTGACAGACTGAAGGCTGTTCTAGACTGGGGCCTGGTCTCTTCTTCTGATGGCACCCTAATATTAGGCACTGTGTGGACAAGTATGCAGGATGACCACAGAACCCACTGTTAATGGATCATCATTTCTCTCATTTTCTAGTCTCCACCTTTATTATAACCTCATGCCCCAGATTTGTTACCAGTTTGGCAATGGAGGGACCAAGAAGGGAGATGTTGCCCATTATAACGTTCAAAGTCCCACATAGGGGAAAGAGTCATCTGGCATTTTCTCGGACATAAACTCCAGGAGAGTCTAGGCCAAAGGAGCAAACCAAAGCCTGTGAGATAATTTATCTTTATTGCCTCAATAGCAGAGCATTCTACACAACATAAAGGATACCAGGGACAGTAACGGAACATGTAGGGAAACCAAACTTGGAAATTCTTTTACAAGGAGTTGAAGAGGTTAAGGACCCAACTTGATGAGACTCCAACCTTGACACTGTGGACAGTCTCTCAGTTAAATAAGGTGGAGCAACAGAACAAAGAGAAGGAGGGCAGGGAGAGGAATCACTAAGAACCAGATGGTTTCAGGTCTCAGAGGAGTACCCGAGCCTATTCACAGTCTCTAACCAGGAAGCTTCCGTAGAGGGGCAGGCCTCAGGCCCTGCCAGGAGCCTCTCTACTTAGGCTACGACTTCCTTCAACGCAGCCCCTAACTCTGGGAAGGAATACTGGTAGCCCGTGGCCAGTGTCCGCCGTGGGACCACCTTCTGGCCCTCCAGCAGCATGACTGCACGCTCTCGTCCAAAGACCGCTTGCACTACCACGCTGGGGAGAGGCATGAAGGCTGGGCGGCCCAGGGCGGCGCCGAAGGCCTTGGCAAACTCAGCATTTGTAGTGGTGGGGGCTGGAGCCACTCCATTCAGGACCCCCTGCACGTGGCTTGCTTCAGCGGCATGGGTCAGGATTCCTGCCAGGTCCCTGATATGAATCCAGGGGAAGAACTGGTGGCCTGGGCCGATGGGGCCCCCCAGACCCAGGCGGAAGGGCAGCAGCATGTGTCCGATGGCACCACCCCCACGGCCCAGCACAACCCCTAGAGCAGGGAAGGACAGCACGGGAGGCTCCTCAATCTCCAGGCTGTTCCACTGTTCCTCCCGGTCTCCCGTCCCCATGCCAACTTAGTTCTCTCTGGGGCTTCGAGTCCTCCCACCTGCAGGCTGGCCAGAAATGGCAGCCTCCTCTCACACTCTGGATGCTCAGCTCCCCTGACTCCCCCAGGCCCCCAGCCCAGGGAAGACATTCCAACCCTGTCTGATACCCAAGCCCCTGGTTCTCACCCGCGCGCACCACCACCTGGCGTGTAGACGCTCCAGGAAGCCTGGCTGCAGCTTCCCATTTGGTTACCAGGTTGGAGAAAAAGTCAAAATCCCCTCCTGGGCTGTCTTCATCATACTCTGCAGTCAGGCTGGGCTGGTAGTAAGCTGCTGGTGGAACAGCACTGGTTTGCCCCAGTGTCCTTGGTCCTGCCTGGCCCTTGGCACCCAATGTTCCCCTTGGTCTCACCCTCCCCAGCCCCTGGGATCTTCCCATGGGAAGACAGAGCCATAGCTATTTTCCCTTTGAGCTGCTCCATGGGTTGACCCGTTGCTGCCCTGGGGTAACTTACCTTTAATTGCAGGGCTAAGTTGAGAGGCTGCTAGAGTGTAGTGGTTAAGAGCAAAGACTGGGGGCCAGGCTGCCTGAGATCTACTCTTAGCTCCACCATTTATTAAGCCTGTGACTTCAGGCAAGTTATATAAGCTCTCTGTTGGCATCTTTAAAATGGGAATCATTTTCTAGCGTTCCTGTGAGGATTAAATGCTTTAATACGTGTAAAACACTTGGAGTAGCAGCTGACATATGTTCTATGGTTGTTTGCAATTATCCCGTCCCAATGGTGAAATACAAGAATGAGGAATTCTGTTCCTAAAGAACTGTGCCGTGACAAGCAAGGGACTTGGGAGTAGGTGGGACTTTTCCCGGCATCAGGAGCAGTGCCACTATCCCCTCTTCCTCTAGGGATCCCCATTTCTCAGTGAAAGTACACAAAGGTCAGAAGAAACATGCATGGATGGAGGGCCTAGGAAGTTCTGTATTTGGAAAAGACCAGCGCTCTGGTGCATGTAGAGCTAGAAGGGCCTGAGCTTGCCCCTCACTGCAACCTCTCTTCCTCTGGCTAATATAAAGGGTGGTGATTTGGGACATACCTACACCAGTGACTAAGACCCAGGCCTGGGGGGGTTGTGGGGCCTTGTTGATGGCTCTAGCCAGTATCTGGGTGGTCTCCAAGCGGCTGCTGAGAACCTCTTTTTGGAAGGTTTCATTCCACCTGCAGGAGAAACAAAAAGGAAATGAGCCACAAACATACCCCTTTCTCTTTCCCTGGGGCTCATCCAGACCCATTTCTAGCAAAACCTTGCATTGTGGTTTAGAGAAGTGGTCCATCTTTCCTGGAGAAAGAAAAGGCACATATTTTGGGCATCCTGAGTTATAAGTGAGGATGAAAGTCAACGGCTGAGAGGGCAGAAGGGCAGGTGGGTGTGCAGGGAGGAGTGGGGCAGGATGAGTAGTTTGGGATTGGAGTTTAGTTCTCCATCTGGACATCTCCATTCTCCACAGCTCATCAGGGTCACACCGTCCTCCCTCTGCTCTGAAGGCTATCAGCTTCAGGGCCGTGGCTGACCTTCGGAGAGGGTTGAGGATGTTCTCTCCCGCCAGGTTGACAGCGGCATCGCAGCGGGGCAGCCCCGACTTAGCAAGTTCATCCTGTCAGAGAAAACACAGTGCTGGGGGGTGGGTGTGGGGGCTCGCCCTGCGCCGCCAAACCAGACCGTCCCCCAGAGCTTCCCGAGGATGGACATACCCACGTGATCCGATCGGGCCCCGGTTTTCGGGAGACCAACGTCACTTCGTGGCCCCTGGCTTTCAGCAACTGGGTTAGGGCTGTCCCAATGAAGCCCGTCCCGCCACCTGGCCAGAAAATACGAGGTATTTATCCTCTCGAGGTCGCCTTCCATCCCCGCTTGTGGCCCCCTCCTCTGCTGCCATCCCATCTGACTTCAGACTTTTGCCCTCCTTCTCGCCCCCTCCCCGCGATGCAGAGGTGACACAGGTCACAGGGACTGGGGAGTTTCGGCTTCCTGGGGTAGGAGGCCAAGGCTGCTGCACGATCACCTGTGCACGTTTCACTGCCCTCCCTCAGAAACTGCCTCCCACCTCTCAAGCTTTGTTTCAACCTTTCCATAAGCCCGCCCCCGACTCTCCCTTTCTGCCCTCCCTCACCCACAAGCACCCGCATAGCGACCAGGACCTAACGCGCTTGCGCAAGATTTGGCGGCGGCAGTGGGGGAGCCCAATCTTGGAAGCGACTACGTCCTCTGTGCGCATGCGTCTTTCGGGAGGCGCGCTCCAATGGGGGGGCGGGCAGGATGGAGACTGGGCGTGGCCCTGCCTGGCGACCCGGAAGAATTCATAGAGAAGGCCGTATATTTCATTGCAAGGAGTGGCGGGGACGGGCGGGGGGCGGTGGACATAGACCGAATGGGCGGGGAAAGAACGGAAGAAGGCCGAGGAAGGAAGGCTTTAATGCGGAAACAAACCAAAACAAAGCTCCAACCCCCCAAAACCCCTTGACCGAAGGCCTGTAGGTACTCAAACCGCGGAAATTGGGACGTCCATTCAGCCTGGTGGATCAGTAGTAATAGTAGCAAGAGAACTCGTCTACCCGTACTATATGGATTTCTTTCGACCCGGCCTCTTTTCTTTTCCCTCTTCCGGTTCCTTCCTGTATTCTTTAGAACATTATAAAGTTCCCCTCCTCTTAAAATAACACATCTCCAGCCCTTTTCTTCGAATGCTAAGGCCCTCTCTCTGTCGTCGCCTGCATAGCCAAGCTTCTCAAAGGAGTGGTGTCCATTTTCTATTCCCTAATTCACTCCCGTCTTTTTTTTTTTTTTTTTTTAAATATGGAATGCTTTGCGAATTTGCGTGTCATCCTTGCGTAGGGGACATACTAATCTCTGTATCCTTCCAATTTTAGTATATGTGCTGGGCAAAGCGAGCACCGCTCCTGCCTTTATTATTCATTGACTCTCGCCAAGATCACCAATTTCCCGTGTCACCAAAACAAATGCCCAGTCATTTTTCTTGACTTCTGTTTCACTGGACACTTCCTCCCTTTGGAAATGCTCATCTCTTGGCCTCAGTGAAAGCCACAGCTCTCTTCTGGGTCTTTCTACTGTCTTTTTTCAGTTTCTGTTGCTTCCTTCACCTCCTCTGAGGTCTTAAAGTGTTGGTATTTCTCGAAGCTGGGTCCTAAGACCTTTCTCTCTTCCCTCTGCACTTTGTTCCAAGTATCTATGTTGGTGAATTTGAGTCTGGACACCTGGTTCCTGGACCTGCTTTGAAAGCATAAGCAGAACTATAGTTGTGTTAGTTGCATTATTAACTTAGGTCTACCTTCTGTTTTGTTCCCTACTTATGTTTTAGCACCTCTTATCAATCATGAACTTTGCCTTTTCCACCCCTACTCCCTGTTTACCCACTGACTGTAGAAAACTAACGAGGGCTGGACAGAAACATTTGTCTTGAAATTATCTGATATACCATGTCCTGACTGACCCCTCATTCTCTGGAAAAAATGCATACCTCCAGATTGCCCCCTTTCAGGTTTTCAAGAAACCTCTCACCTTCCTCTCACATACTCACCTCCTTCTCCAAACATATGTAAGCTGTCCCTAGGTTCAACAGGACAAGGCAGTTTTGGAAATGGCTGCTCTTCTGGTAATAGAACTTTCTTTGCTTCAAAACTGGTGTCTCAGACATTGGCTTCAGGTGCACCGACAAGTTTGAATTTCGGTAACAGATTTAGTTACCAGTTTCTCAGAGACTTCCTAGTATCCTATGCAACCTGAATCTTTCCTCTGACCTCCTAACCCCTATTAAAACTTCCTACTAGACATCTCTTTTTGGATGTCTGAAACCTTGTTGATTTTACTTACTAAATATCTCCCAGATCCATCTATTTCTGTTTATCTCTGCTACCACCACTCTTCTTTAAGTTATTATCCTCTTTTGTGTAAATTTCTGCAGTAGTCTCCTAGTAGGTCTCCCTGCTTCTGTGTGTTTCTCTTCTCCAAACTGTTCCACATGTTGCAAACTGAATGATTTAAAAACTTGTGGGAAGAACACTATGGTGGCATATATCTCCTAAAAAAAACCCCTCCCACTGCAAATTTCCTGGATATGCTGGGTAAAGTTTAACACATCTCCATTTAACTGCACTGTGAAGGTAACTAGAAAATAAAGGAAATCCTCAGAGACCAAAAACAAAGGTTTTTGAGGTTACCTTGTGGTTGGTTTAAGTCTCAGTAACCCAGAGGCTTGGGTGACAGCAGATGATGCCTGGGACCCCTGCATAAAGCTCTTGGTGGGCTATGTCCTGAGGAAGAGGGGGGGGCAGGCTCAGTTCCAGGACCCTGGGATCATGACCTGAGCCGAAGGCAGACCCTTAACCACCAGAGCCAGCCAGCTGCCCTGATTCGAACTCTTCTATTTGGAATCTCAGAAGAGAGGGGACAGAGGAGGGGACATGGAAAATATTTATAGAGATAATAGCTGATTACTTTTCCAAATTAATGAAAGATATGAATACTCAGATTCAATAAGGAAAATGAATCTCAAGTAGAATAAATAAAAAGAAATCCATACATAGTCACACCATATTTAAAGTATAAAAACAAAGACAAAGAAGAGGTATTAAAATAGGGCAGAAGTAAAAGACAGATTATCTATAAAGAAATAACAGTTAAATGGACAACAGATACCTTCACTACAACAATATAAGCCAGTGGAGTAATACAATAAAACCTTCAAATGTGAAGAGAAAATAATTTTGCCATCCTAGAACTGTTTACAAACTGGCATTCAAGAATGAAGGTAAACCAAGGATAGTTTTAGACAAGACAAAAAAGAGAGCATTTACTATCATCAGACTTAAAATTTTGTCAGGAAAAAAGAGACTGATTTCAAAAGGAAGGTGTGAGATGCAAGAGAATAATGATCCAAAAGTTGGTAAACAAATGGGTAAATACAAACAAATATTGGCCATATAAAGCACCACAATAATATTTGATTTGTGGGTAAAAATTGAAGCAGAACTAAAGTCTGAGTCAGCAATAATGGAGCTGGAGCTGAGTTGCTGGGGAAGGATAACAATGCTGAATAATAAACTTTGTGACATAAACATTTGAAAAATGTACTCTTACATATTAGAAATAAAATGTGCACTTCCAAGTCAGTAGAAACAATAATCGAATCAATTCAAAAAAGTTATCAAGAAATAATAAAAAAAAGAAAGTTTAGACAAAATTGGAAAGCTCAAAATAAGATAATAGGAATAATCAGTATCCATAGTATATTTAAACAGACTAAGAAATTGAATTAACTAGATGCCCTGGAATTACAAATTTCACCATGGGTGAATCTTACAGCTATAATGTTAAAATGAAAAAGAACTTGCAGGAAAGTAATTGCAATATGGTACTATTTATTTTAAGATTAAATATAGGCAAAATAATGCACTTTTTATTGAGGAGACAGATTTGCAGTTAAAGTAAAAAGGAATGCATGGGAGTGAAAATGAAAAAAAAAAACCCTCAGGATAGCATTTATCTGTGGGGGTGAGCAGAAAAGCAGTCCAGGAGGAGTACTGGGGAGACTGACTTCTTATTTCTTAGGTGAGGTAGTGGGTACGTGGGCATTCATTTTGTTTTTCTTTGTCTGAAATAAATAAGGATATGTAGTTGTTTGAAAGTTTATAGTCCATCTCAGATGTGCAGAAACAGAACTTTTTTTTTAATTTTAATTTTTAAAAAAGATTTTATTTATTTATTTGAAGTGGGGGAGAAAGAGAGAGCGCGAGTGAGCATGAGCATAGCAAGGGGAGGAGCAGAGGGAGAGGGAGAAGCAGACTCCCTGCTGAGCGCAGAGCCTGTCACTGACTTGGGGCTGACGCAGGGCTCGATCCCAGGACCCTGAGATCATGACCTGAGCTGGAGTCAGACACTTAACCAACTGTGCCACCCAGGAGCCCCAGAACTTTATTACTTATAGTTGAACACAACTTGCTCATGAACGCTTCTCTTTGGCGGTGGAATAAACTTAAACTCAACCAACCAAAGTAACTTTGTCATTTCTAGTTTAAAAGTTCTCAGTTCACTCAGTTTTCTGTGAGTAAATTCTCAGTCTTTCAGAGTACCTCATCTGTCTTCTCCCTTCTCTCTCCCCGCTGGACACCTGGGGGTAGGAGATCTTTGGTCCCGGCACTGCCATCCTGTGCGGAAGAATCTCTTCTCGTTCGGCCTTTGCATGTTGCCAGCTATTGGCTGAGACATGGCTGGTTAGGCCAGGCCTCTGGGCATGGTGTTTGGATACAAACTCCCAAACTTCTGAGTGTTATATCTTCTACCTATGATACCCATGGTCTGGAGTATCTCCTAGGAGAGTGAGGAACTCTCAGCTTGTCTTCTGGCCAACAGCATGGAATGTACGGGGCTTGGTAAGTCTCCCCTTAGGCTCATCTCTTCGTTATTTGCCATAATCATTACTGCCCAAGCATCTCGCTGCAGTCTAGCACTGTTAGTTATATACTGCTGTTAACAAATTATCTCAAAACTTAGTGGTTTGAGGGGTGCCTGGCTGGCTCAGTTGGTAGAGTGTGTGACTCTTGATCTCTTGGGCTTGTAAGTTTGAGTCCATGTTGGGTGGAGAGATGACTTAAAAAAATAAAATCTTAAAAAAATAATTAGTGGTTTGAAACAACAATAATAATATTTATTATCTCATACAGTTTCTGTGGGTTAAGAATCTGTGAGCAGCTTAGCTAGGTGGTTCTGGCTCAGGGTCTCTCAAGAGGTTATGGCCAAGATAAGGGTCAGGGCTGCAATCATCTGAAGACATGGAGGATCCTTTCCCAAGGTGGCTCATTCACTTGGCCCTTGGCAGGAGGCTTTCATTTCTTGCTGGCTGTTGATAGAAAACCTCAATTTCTTGCCATGCAGATGTCTCCATAGGGCTGTTAGAGTGTCCTTATGACATGGCAGCTGGCTTCCCTGGAGCTAGTGATCTAAGAGAGTAAGATTGAAGCCTCAATGCCCTTAATGACCCACCTAGACTTGGAGGTTCCATACAGTTGCTTTGACCATGATCTATTTGTTAGAAGTGAGTCACCAAGTCCAAGTGGAGGGGAATTTGACTCCAGCTTTTGAAGGGAGGGGTGTCGAAGAATTTGTGGACCTATTTTAAGAGCACCACAAGCTCTGTGCTGTAATTAGGACTTCTCTGAGAGGCTCGTAGTCTCTCAGTTATGCTTGGGGATTGGGGCACAATCCTGCTGAT